TTCTGAAGAAGGGTCCAGATCCGAAACGTCAGCTTTCCTGCTCCTCTGATGCTGCCTGGCCTGCTGTGTTCATCCAGCTCTACACCTTGTTATCAAAAGGGAGATATCTCCAACTGAAACCAGTGAACAGCAAAATCAGGTCAGACAAATGAGGGTCGACCTGTTCAAGTGGTACCTCTTCGGTACTGCACTGAGAAGCCAGCCTCAATCAAGAGTCAAATCTCTGGGGCTGGGCTTTGAACCTCCAGATACCGAAGCAGGGAATCCACTCAATGAACCGCAAATGGACAGCTGTGTGCGTGAGCAATTTGTACTGTACGCTGTGCACAGTTCGAATATGGACAGAGTGTTGGAGGGATTTTCTCCTTTTACCTTTAGCTGATCTGTTCCGTTTTGCAGTTGTCCATGTTAAAGCGGGCACATGTGAAGTGATCGCTGCGCATCGCTGCTGCAACAAGAACAAGATTGAGGAACGCTCACAGACTGTCAAGTGCTCCTGTTTCCCTGGGCAAGTAGCAGGAACAACACGGGCAGATCCATCGTGCGTTGACGGTAGGACATTTCCCCCAAAGTAAAAGAATTTTAAATTAAGTGAGGCACCTGAAGTCGTGGCCAAACAAAGTAAAAGAATTTTAAATTAATTGAGGCGCCTGAAGCCGTGGCCAAACAAAGATCAATGTAGAATTGCACAGAAACAGGCCATTCGGCCCAACCACTCTGGACTGGTCTTTACGATCCACATACAAACAAGAATAGGCCACTCGGCCCTTCAATCCCGTTCTGCTATTCAATGAGATCATGGCTGATGTGATTTTAACCTCAACTCTACATTCCTGCATATCCCCGATAATTTTTTCAGGAATCTACCTACCTCTGCCCGAAAAATATTCAAAGATTCTGTCTCCACTGCCTCTTGAGGAAAGGAATTTCAAAGACTCACAGCAATCAGATAGAGAAAAAGTGCTTCCTCATCTCTGATTTAAATGGGCAATGCTTCATTTTTAATCTCTGACCCGTAGTTCTACATTCTTCAGCAAGAGGAACCTACCTCTCCACCTACTCAAGTCAGCTGAGGTTCCCTTGAAACAGTCTCCTTCTCAACCTCTCCCCTCAGCCTGAGGTAGGGGTCACCCTCAGGTTAAATCACCACCAGTCATCTCTCTCCAATGAGAGAGCCGCTCTACGGGCTGGTAAAACTGTGACAACTTTACCTTTCCCTTATCTGGTCATCAGCCTTCCTGTCGGTGGAAAAGATTTCTCCTAATTTATGCTATCAATATTGAATCATTGTCAAAAAGGGACATGGACTCGAATCTTCTAACCAGGACCCAAACACAAGAAAACCAGCTTGGTTTCCTTTCAGAGATAACAAGGTGTAGAGCTGGATGAACACAGCAGGCCAAGCAGCATCAGAGGAGCAGGAAAGCTGACATTTCGGGCCTAGACCCTTCTTTCTCTTCAGTCTGGTCAATGGACAATGAAAAGGTTCACCTTCATGTCTCATTTTGATAATGTTTGAGTTCTACTAAAAAAACCCTTAGAATTTTTAAAACCTCTTGTAAATTTTCTTCTAACCTTCCCTGCTCTATGGAGTACATCTCTGGTGGTAAGCTGCAGTCTGTGCGCTGTGGGTAGAGCAATGATGCCCTTAGGGGGGCAATTCCATGACTTTAACCCAGCTCCAGTGAAGGAGTAAAATCCGAAAGAACAGCGGATGCTGTAAATCAGGAACAAAAACAGAAGTTGCTGGAAAAGCTCAGCAGGTCTGGCAGCATCTGTGAAGGAATTATCTGAGTTAATGTTTTGGGTCTGGTACTGAGGAAGGGTCACCGGGCCCCAAACGTTAACTCTGATTTTTTCTTCACGGATGTTGCCAGACTTGTTGAACAGTGAAGCGGTATTCCATCACACTCCTGACTTTTACCTCTGGATATGCTTTGGGGAGTCAGGAGGTGAGTTACAGACTGCTGTATCCCTAGCTTCTGACCTTCTTTTGTAGGCACTGTACTTCTTTTAAAAAATCATTCATAGGATGAAGACATCACTGGCTAGGCTAGCATTTATTTCTCATCCCAGAGGGCAGTTAAGAGTCACCCACATTGCTGTGGGTCTGCAGTCATTTGTAGGACAGACCAGGTAAAGATAGCAGTTTCCTTCCCTAAAGGACATTAGTGAATCAGATGGGTTTTTCCTAACAATGGACACATGGTCATCATTAGGCTATTAATTCCAGACTTTTTAATTGAATTCAAGTTCCATCATCTGCTGTGCAGGATTTGAACCTGGGTCCTCAGAACATTAGACATAACAAGGTGGAGAGCTGGAGGAACACAGCAGGCCAATCAGTATCAGGAAGGCTGACGTTTCGGGCCTAGACCCTTCTTCAGAAATGGGGAGGGGAAGGGGGTTCTGAAATAAATAGGGAGAGAGGGGGAGGTGGATAGAAGATGGATAGAGGAGAAGATAGGTGGAGAGGAAACAGACAGGTCAAAGAGGTGGGGATTGAGACAGTAAAGGTGAGTGTAGGTGGGGAGTTAGGGAGGGGATAGGTCAGTCCAGGGTGACAGACAGGTCAAGGGGGTGGGATGAGGTTAGTAGGTAGGAGATGGGGGTGCGGCTTGAGGTGGGAGGAGGGGATAGGTGGGAGGAAGGACAGGTTAGGGAGGCGGGCACGAGCTGGGCTGGTTTTGGGATGTGGTAGGGGGAGGGGAGATTTTGAAGCTTCTGAAGTCCACATCGATACCATTGGCCTGCAGGGTTCCCAAGCGGAATATGAGGTGCTGTTCCTGCAACCTTCGGGTGGCATCGTTGTAGCAAGTCCCCACCTTCCTAACCTGTCCTTCCTCCCACCTATCCCCTCCTCCCACCTCAAGCTGCACCCCCATCTCCTACCTACTAACCTCATCCCGCCCCCTTGACCTGTCTGTCCTCCCTGGACTGACCTATCTCCTCCCTAACTCCCCACCTACACTGACCTTTACTGGCTCCATCCCTGCCCCTTTGACCTGTCTGTCTCCCCTCCACCTATCTTCTCCTCTATCCATCTTCTATCCGCCTCCCCCTCTCTCCCTATTTATTTCAGAACCCCCTTCCCCTCCCCCATTTCTGAAGAAGGGTCCGGGCCCGAAACGTCAGCTTTCCTGCTCCTCTGATGCTGCTTGGCCTGCTGTGTTCCTCCAGCTCTACACCTTGTTATCTCAGATTCTCCAGCATCTGCAGTTCCTGCTATCTCTGGTTCACAAATAAAACCTTTTAGAGAAGGAAGCTTGCTGCCTCACCCAGCCCTGGTCTGTATGTGACAGGAGTCCCCATACAAGTAGGAATAACTTACAAAAACCTTCTGTTGTATCAAATTTCCAACAGTGGTTCAAGAAGATTAACCAGTTTCAGGAGGCTAGCTGGGTAGTGAAGGTAGTGTCACAGGATTAGTATTATCTCATAACCCAAACTAATGTTGTGGTTGCTGGTTCAAATCCCACCATGGCAATGGTGAAATATGGCTGTGATTTTAAAAGCTGCCTGGAATTAAAAAGTTAATAATGTAACCACTATTGATTCTTATTAGACAGCTGTCTGGGTCACTGAAAGCCTTTAACAAGGGAAGCCTGAGATAGCAAGAACTGCAGATGCTTGAGTCAGTGATAACAGTGTGGAACTGGAGGAACAGAGCAGGCCAGGCAGCACGGAGGAACAGGAAATTCGACGTTTTGGGCTTCTTCTGGTCTGGCCTACGTGTAACTCCAAACCCACGTCAATATAATTAATTTTTAACTGCCCTCTAGATTATTAGGGATTGGCAACAAATACTGGCCTAATCAGCATCCCATTTAACCAAGCTACACCATCACTCTAGAGCAATGAATAGCACCGTCTGCTGTTTATAAAAGATATTGACTGCACCAAGTATGGAATCAGGCATTGTTCCCTCATTCTTTTCGAAGAGTGAGCTAAGAAGAATGAGAAATGATCTCTTTGAAACAAATAGGATTTGTAAAGAGGCTTGACAAGATGTTTCCCCTCATGGGAGTGACTAGGACCAGAGGGCATAGTCTCAGAATAAAGGGGCACTAATTTAAGGCTGAGGTAAGGAGGAATTTCTTCTCTCAGAGGGTTGAGAGTCTTTGGAACTCCTTGTCACAGAGAGCTGGGAGGGAAGAGTCCTTGTGGATATTTAAGGCTGAAATAGTTTCTTGATCAGTTGGGGAATTGAGTGTTACGGGAAAAAGGGCAGGAAAGTGGATACGAGGAGATATATAAGGAATACAAATTTGTGTTAAATAAATGTGTTAAGGGATATGGACCAAAGGCAGGTAAATGGAGTTAGGCCACAGATCAAACATGATCTCATTGAATGGTGGAACAGGCTTGAGGGGCTGAATGGCCTAATCCTGTTCCTATACCCTTATGTTCCTGTGAGGTCAGAACAGCCACAATCCTACTCATTGGCAAAACAGGCTTTAGCAACCGAATAAGTTCCTGTTTCTGATGGTCTCCTGGTCCTTGATTTCTCCTTCAATGGCATGATACAGGATTAGGGTCTAGCCTAAAGGATGTGACAGATGGGTAGGAGCATTATGAAGATGGTCAAGTGGCCAGGGCTTGTGCCTCTGCTTTGTTGCCTCTAACGTTTGGTTGGAAATAAGAATAATCGTTAATTAACAATGGCTAAATAACAGCATCCAGTAATTAACAAAAATGAATATGGGATGAATGTTGGCCCAAGCTTTACATTGTGATATCAACCTGGAAATTCTGAAGGTAATGATTAAAAAAGAGACATGAACAAGAAAAGGAGCCGATGGATTAATTTTGATCAGTGGACAGTAAGTCTGCTGCAGTTATTAACCTTCGAGAAAGTGTTTGTCACAAGAGCAGGGACTCTTAATTCTGTCAGTGACCAGTTGCTAGCTCAATCCACCTGGCTTTGTGAATATAAAGTGTGCTCGCTGGTGTAGAATTACAACAGTGTCTGAGTGATCTGCAGGTGTGAGATGAGTCAGCATTGTATTCGTGACAGATGACGTTATATGATCTCCTTGTTAGAATCACTGTCTGTTAGTCACCAAGACAACCTGGTGAGAGGACAATTTCTGGTAAAATCCACCGATTTCTTGGTGAAGATGAAGTGATGACTTCACTCGCGATTATTAAAGCTCTTGTGTGGTCATTGCTGCTTCCTGACTGGAGCTGCGTCTAGAAGCGCAGTATTCTGGGAAAACCTGAATTTGCTAATGATAGTGAAGACAAAGGGTTAGGGTCCAGGTTAGGACTGAGGCCAGGGATTTCACAAAAGTGTATGAGATTGAAGCAGAAGTAGAGCATTTGGGCTCTTGAGTTTGCTTCACCAATGAATCAGATCATGGCTGGTTCTGTTTACGTTTCAAGTTCCACATTCCCACCTCCACCTGTTAACGATTGAGTGTCCCATCTATCCACTTCTGTCTGAAAATTTTTGTCTACTCAATTATCCCACTGTCTTCTGAAGCAGAGAGTCACAAAACTGTCCAAACCTCAGAGAGAAAAAAAATTCTCCTAATCTTGGTCCTGAATGGGCGACCTCTAATTTTAAAACATGCCCCCTAGTTCTGGACTAACCCACAAGAGGAAACATCTTTTCAACATCCTCTTTGTCAACACTGTTCAGGGCGTTATACACTTCATTTAAATCAAACTCTCCCTCTTCTGAACTCCAGTGGAAACAAGACCAGTCTGTTCCACCTGTCCTTCTAAGATAATGTTGAAAGTTAGGGATAGATGCAACATTCACGATAGAGCTGGAATCGCATTTGGTTTGGGGTCAAAGACTTGGTTACAGCAAGGTTTTAGAATAGATTTGTAGCTTGGGTTATGGATGTTGTAGTTGGTTGGCTCGCCGAGCTGGCTCGTTAGTTCACAGACGTTTCATTACCCTGCTGGGAAACATCATCAGTGCAGCCTCCGATGAAGCGCTGTTGTGATTTCCCGCCTGTTATTTAAACTCTGGGGTCCGTTGAGCTGGATTACCCCGGATTCTCCAGCATCTGCAGTTCCTACTATCTCTGATTCAATTTTAACCCCACTGCGAAGCCTCTTCTAAGGATGCCTAGCCTGAAGAAGTTACCCTCCTCCCTCCGGACAAACCTCAAGGGATCTCTCTCCCACTGCAACTCTCCTCTATCCATCTTCTATCCGCCTCCCACTCTCTCCCTATTTATTTCAGAACCCCCTTCCCCTCCCCCTTTTCTGATGAAGGGTCTAGGCCCGAAACGTCAGCCTCTCTGCTCCTATGATGCTGCTTGGCCTGCTGTGTTCATCCAGCCCTGCACCTTGTTATCTTGGATTACCTCACTTCTGGTTTTTCTTCACAGTGGAGTGTATATGGGGTCGAGCTCTATGTGTTTGTTGATGGCTTTCTTTGTGGAGTACCAGGCTTCTAGGAACTCCCTAGAGCCAACCAACCACAACTTAGTTACAGTGTGAGGCCATGTTGGAATGACTTGTATTGATATTAAAGTGATATCAGTTTTGAGGCTACAGTCTGCCCAGATTATGTTCAGGGCTACAAGTGCCATTCCAGTCAAGATTACAGGCTGGTTGTGACCTTTGATTATCAGAATCCGGTTCTATGCCATTGTTTTTACATCCCAACATCCCATTCATTTTCTTTACCTAGTTCATCGGTTTGCCAATGGTTTGAATGAGTCTTTTGCTTTGTCATATGCCATTTTGTTTGGGATCCGTGTTTACTTTCTCTCCCCAATCTTCCACTCGAACCACTAACATATTAATAAAACTGAGTGGCCTGCCAGTCCACATCAAAGGGATTTGAAGAGTCAAACATTTTAGTCCAGGGGGAGGTGGGAACTAGGCACGTGTAACAGTCCATACCATGTTTATTCCATTTCTTTCCCAATCCATAAACGCATTGCTTAAGGAAATTGACTTTCGATCCTGTCAATAACCATGGCTACAGAGATTCCCACTGCCCTTGCTGTGATATCGTCAGTTCACATCTCAGCAAGTTGTGACAGAAATATTCATCAAACTGAAATGTGAGGGCTGGCCAGGCTGTGAGAGACCAGATTCCAGCAAATTCTCAACAATTGCCATTTCCACAACTAACCAGTCCTTGATGCATTCACATTTCGAACGACTCCTGAAAGATATTAACAAGCGCATGACTAATCTAATGAGCCATTCTATGAGTGACCCTATATGACGATTGTTTTAGTCTGGTGCCCATAAAGACAATGACACGCACTTATTTAGCACCAGTGACAACCTCAGGTTGTCCCAAAGATCAGTCAAGCACCTTTGAGATGGAGTCAGTGTTGCAGAGTAGGAAATGCTGCAATCATGTTACGCATAGAATCATCCCACTAATACGTCTGTGACAATGACCATGTAAAAAGGTCAAGTTGCCACATTCCCACTCTCTGATTACAGAGGGATAACTGGTGGTGGTTTAACCTGAGGGTTAGGCAAGGGGAAGAGGTTGAGAATGAGAGTCCTTCATGGTGATCTCAGCCAGTGTGGGAATTGAACGCACATCATGTTGGCATCAGTCAGCAAATACAACCCAACCAAACAAGCTAACCAATCACCAACCTGTTTGTTGGGATGCTGAACTGAAGGATGAATATTGGCAGGCCATAGGGGTGTGTACTCACTGTTCTTTCGAAATGAGTTTTCTCAGGGTGTGAAGCGTAATGTTGGGGTAGTGGCGGGGGTGCAGGGAGGGGGTGGGTGGGAAGTGTGTGGGTGGGGGGGGGGGGTGTGGAGAAGTCTTTTTCAGTCCCGTCTCACTGTGGTGCTTTCTCTCGAGTACAGCCTCGATTGTTGTTCAGAAGTGGTGGTGTCACATGGAACCATGTTTGGAAGGCGAAGAGTGTAAGGTTCTCCCAGACCTGAGTGGCTGGAGCTGTAGTACTGGAAACAAAGTCAAAACCACCAAGGTTAGTCTGAGCATCTCATCAACATCACCTCCGACATGTTTTTATTGTAAAATGTTTGTTTTCAATTCCTTCCGTCACTTTGTACCCCACTCCCTAGATGGCCCAGAGGTATTATTGCTGGACTGTTAATCCACAGACCCAGATAATATTCTGGGGGCCCAGGTTCAAATCTTGCCACAGCAGATGGTGACATTTGAATTCGATTTAAAAAAAAAATCTAGAATTAAGGTCTAAAGATGACTATGAATCCATTGTTGATTGTCAGGAAAGGCCCATTTGGTTCGCGAATGCCCTTTAGGGAAGGAGACTGCCATTCTTACCTGGACTGGGCCTACACGTGACTCCAGACCCACAGCAATGTGGTTGACTCTCAACTGCCCTCTGTGCAATTAGGGATGGGCAATAAATGCTGCTTTAGCCAGTGACACCCTCATCTCATGAATGAATAAAGGAAAAAAAACCATCTCTTTCTGCTCTTACAATTATCTCCAATCTCTGCACTTCCCCAATTCTGGCCATACTTTGTCTTTAATGAGAGTCATACAATATTTTGTCATTACTTTTACGCGGGAGTGTTTCTAGAACATTCCTTGCTCATTCCCTCACATGCTGGGAGAGATCTCAGCAAGCAGAGGACATATTAGGGACTTACTGCAGCAATTTGAGGGTTATTGTAGGTGACCTATGGTATTATTGTTAGACTGTTAATCCACAGACCTAGTAATGTGCTGGGGACCTGGATTCGAATCCTGCCATGGCTGATGGTGGAATTTGAATTCAATAAAAATCTGGAGTTGGTCTGATGATGACCATTAAACCTTTGTCGATTGTCAGGAAAAACCCATCTGGGCCACAGGTGCCCTTTGGGGAAGGAAACTGCCATCCTTACCTGGTCTGGCCTACATGTGACTCCAGGCCCACAGCAATGTGGTTGACTTTGAAGTCCCCTCTGGGCAATCAGGGATGGACAATAAATGCTGGTCTAGCTGGTCACACCCCCATCCTGTGAATAAATTTTAAAAAAGGAACTCCATTCACCGATCAGTGCTCATGCACCAGTGCTGATACCACAACCTGCAATGATTTTAACATTCCTACCGAGGTTTTCACATCGCTCTGTCTCTGGGCTGGATTTGACCAGCCCTTGGGGCGGAGTGGGGGTGGGGGTGGGGGTGTTGGTGGGGGAGGGGAGGTGGTTGGTGGGGGGGGGCGCGCAGGGTGGGGTTGGAGACGGAGAGTGGAGGTGATCTACTAGTTGCCTTTCCTCCAATCTGCCACATTGTCAGTGAGAAGTGGGGGGGGTGGTGGTGATGTGGAGTGGGGGGTGTAATACACCATACTGACAACCCTCCAACCCGGGGTCAGATGAGCTACTCCAGTGACCAATGAAGGGGCAACTTGTGCCACCACTTGCGTTTTACCCGTATGTGTGTGTGTGTGTGAGTGTGTGAGTGTGTGTGTGTGTGTGTCTGTATGTGAGTGTGTGAGTATGTGTGTGTGCATGTGTGTGTGTGTATGTGTGTCTGTGTGTGTCTGTATGTGTGTGTGTGTGAGGGGGAGAGTGTGTGTGTGTGGGTGTGTGTGCATGTGTGTGTGCGGATGTATGTATGTGTGTGTGTGCATGTGTGTGAGTGTGTTTGAGGGGGAGAGTGTGTGTGTGCATGTGTGTGCGTGTGTGTGTGTGTGCGCGCGCGTGCGTGTGCATGTG